CTCCCTGCCCCGCCCGGCCTGTCTGCAAGAGGGACACAGCGGACACGAAAGCGAACAGAGACGTCTGGTAGTGAGGTGACTCCTTGAAGAGAGTGGGGCCCTGGGTGCAGGTCCCCCCACCTGGTCATGTTCCAGATGAGGGCCAGTGTGTATTCCCTGAAGGACAGGGCACCAGAGGGGAGGGGCCCTTGCCGCGCAAGCTCAGGCCACAAATAGCTCCCTCGCTGGCTGGGTCAGGACCCGAGGGGGCGGCCCGAGCGGCCAGGTGCCCGAACTGCAAGGAACAAGGGCCCCGCCAGGCCTTGGAGCTGGGGAGCACTGAGCTGAGGCCCAGTGCCCTGCAACCTCATGTCATTGAGCCCTTTATCTAAAGGACAAACACAGAACGACCTGGCGGGCTTGTGCCCAGCGCAAGGAATGGCTCTCAATAGACAGCAGCTCTCCTGAAACCACTGTTACTGTGTTCTTGCTGTCTCTACCCCTTCTTCGGCATCCGGGGACTCTCCCCAACCCTTCCCTCCTCCCCCCTCCACTGCAAAGGCTCTTCCCCAAATCCAGGTAGTGGAGTATGAGATAGAAGGCCCCCGAGTCCTCCTACCCCACCAGGACCTCAGCCAGTCTTGGTCTCAGTCCTGGCTCAGATTGGCCCAAAGGCCCTTCCCATTCAAGTTCAGAGGGTCTGGTGGGCACCAGGAGCCCGATGGACTGAGGTGTCCCCCGTACAGCTGCCCCCACATCCAGGGGCCGGTGCAGAGGACGTGTCTGCCCTTTGCCCATTCTGCACCTCTGCCCACACCAGCACACACAGAAGGCTGGCTCTGCACAGACGTGCGGGGCATTCACGTGCACACACGCACATGCGCATCCAGGCCCAGCCCTCCTGAGCGGCATGCCTGGCCCAGCCTGGTCCCTCCCTGGCAAGCAGAGCAGGCTGGCCCCAGGAGGCACTGGGCCTCCCTCTGGTGGCTCCAGGCTAGACCCTGTCTGGGCCACAGCCCTGGGCACAGGCCGCAAGAGCAGGCTTCAGTCCAGGGAACAAGGTGCAAACTTTGGCAAAGAGTTTTAATGGCAGAGTTGGTTGCAGCGGCAGTGCCACACGGGGAGGGGCCGGAAGCGGTGGTGGGTGAGGGGTCAACAGGCGACAGGGCAGGGCCGGATCCCTGAAGAAGCGGCGAGCAAGGACTGGCGGGCAGCGTCGAGCGGGCGGGTGCTACATGATGGAGCAGGCGGACAGCGGGTTCCGCACGTGGCAGGTGCACGCGGCCCCGCAGTACTGCCGGAAGGTCTGGTAGCAGCTGCCCTCCGGCTCGCCCCCCCACTGGCCCCCGGATGGGGCGGTCAGTGCCTCGGGTGGCAGGCGGCTCAAAATGGACGTGTTGACGGCTAGTGCGGCCAGGCCGTAGTCCGTGAAGAGCACAGTCTCCCGGCGGCAGGTGGGACAGGAGATGAACTTGTACTTGGGGCAGGACTCATAGAGAATCTGCAGGCACTGCTCACACACGGAGTGCAGGCAGGACAGCACGCGGGGCCGCCGCTGGGTGACGTTGTACGTGTGCCCGCAGGTGGGGCACTCCAGGGGCTCACCTGAAGCCGGTGCCGCCGTGGCGGGGGGCCCCGAGGCGGCAGGGCCGGGCCGCACCACATACTGATTCACAATGACCTCGTCCGCTGGCGCCACGCGGGGGAAGCCCAGCTCCACACTGCCCTTTCGGGGCCGTCGTGGCAACGGAGGGGTGCGGGGCGCCCCATCCAAGGTGGGCATGTCCCCCCCACACGCCTGGTTGACGATGATCTCTGTGTCTGAGGGCCAGGCGCGTTTGGGTGCCAGAGCAGGGGTGGGCCTCGGTGCAGCTGGGAAGCAAGCGGCAGCCGCCTGCAGCTCGGGGAACTTCTCAGGGTGAACAATCTTCATGGCCTCCATCTTGAGGATGACATGGGGGCCCTTCAGGCAGGACATGAGGAGGCCTGGCCAGCCACTGCCCACCTCGGGCCCAGGGTCAGCCGGCATCCGGCTGTCTCCAATCAGATTGGGTGTTCGGGTGGGTGGGGGCGTTGGGTGAGGCCGGGGAGGCGGAGAGGGAGCAGCATCCTGGTCCTGCCAGGCCTGGTGGGGACCCCGGCCGCCCCGAGGACTCCTGGGGGCGGCCGGCGAGAGCTGGGGGGGCAGGGCCCCCCCCAGTGGCCACAGTGGCTTCTCCGGTCCAGTCCTAGGAGGAGGAGGAGGAAGAGGTGGGGGAGGAGGAGGGAGGCGGGGGCAGGGGAGTACAGGAGGCTGCCCTGGGCTGCAGGTCTGGCCCAGGGGCTCACCCAGGGTCTCTGGCTGCTGAGGCTGGAGAGGGGGCGTGGGGGGGGCTCCCCCTGCAGCCGAGGTCAGCAGTCCCTGAGCAGGGACATCCGGGCAGGCAGGGGCTAGGTGGGCCCCATGGCTCCAGGACAAGGCTCCCAGGGAAGGCAGCTAGCCTGAGCCCAGGCTGCGGGAGGCCCCAGGCCGCGGGCTCGGCGGCGGCGGCGGCGGCGGCGGCTGCGGCGGCGGGAGCAGAAGAGAGGCCTGGACCAGGCCCGAGCTGCAGGTGAGAGACAGCGGTAGGGCAGCGCCCAGGGCCCACCCTCACCCCGCACAAAAGACAGGGCTCCCGACCTCTGACCCTCACCCTCGCAGGACTTGGGACCCAGCCCCCTCCCCAGCCCCCGCCCCCAAGGCCCAACCCCTGCCCGGGTGGGAAGGGGAGGCGAGTCGCGACCCCGCGGCCGTCCCGCCCCGCCCCGCCCGAGCTCACCTGCCCCAGCCTGGCGTCCCCGGGCCGCGCGCGCC